TTAAAATTTATAATAATATTAACATAAATGCGACCTTAGAAAGAGAATTTGTAAATTCTTGGAAGCACACTATGCTTACAGTGTTTAGGAAACAAAGAAAAACAAATATAATCTGCCTGCTCAAAGTCTCTATTTATAGAAAGTTCTCAACCTTAGCTAAAAGGTCACTTATCATGCCTCAGATTTACGTTATGCAAGAAAAATTATACACCCAGGAACACATGATGGAACCCTGACCCACAGCAGCCACTGGGTAGGTTCAAAAGAAGTATTGTTGTTACATTAAAAATTTTGCCAATGACGTATTTAAAACAAATTTTTTAGAAATATGTATTAAAATTCTAAAAGGAAATTAGAAAAGGCAAAAATCATTAAAAAAGAACTCCAGACTCTATACCAGCAGGTTGGTAAAGCAGTGCTAAAAGAAAAAGAAAAAAAAGACGAAGAAATATCAGAGCTCTAATTTTTTCTAAAACTGCATGCAATTTCTAGAAATATGGAATGAATTATGTTGAACTAAGGTGTTAGCTAGACTATTTATAACTACATTCAACAAAAACAGAAATTAGAAAAGGGGGGAACCCAGAAATTAGGGCTAAATATAATGTAATCTTTTAAAATAGTAATACTCAACTGCAAAAGAATGTGTCAGAGAGACTCACAATACTTAAGATTCTGGAAATCTCCATGTGTAAATTGTGGTATTGCTTATTTAAGTACCTATTACTGTGAAGTAAAGGATGCATACCTGGATTCTTTCTAATACGACAATCAGATTATAATCTGTGCAAAAATTAATAAAAGTACACTGTTGTTAGGATATTCAGAGAAACAAAGTACTGAAGCCTAAAACAAATGAAATATTTCAGTGAGTGGGTGTATTTTAAGGAGTGTAATTCTTTTTAGAATTACTGAAGGAGGTAAAATGGTAAAACCAAATATGAATGTCCTAATTTGACCTAAACTTGTTTGGCTACCAGTTTTTCCCAACATTCAGCCCCTGGGACTATTGACTGATAAAAAAATGTAAGTAATATGTATTGGTCTTAGAAAGCTGTCAGTCACTAGGCATGAAAGGGGACTTTAAATTATTTCCTACTCTCAGTTGGCCTAGTGGACAGAGAGTGATGCTACCAAGCCAAAGTTAGGTGATTTTAATCTGCAGCACTCAGGCCTGGTTTTAATTGGTTTTGGTCAAACATTCTTCTAAGTGGTATAGCACCGGTCTGTGCATTTGCAGTACAGAGGTAACTTGTGGTTGCTGTGAGGCTGACCACTGTGACGCTGATATGTCAAACGCGATAATGGTTATCCATGGTGGACAGCGTTTGGTGGGGCGTCCTGATTAAAACAAGCTGGGAAGCAGGAGTGGCATCCACTTCCGAAATAGCTTGCCTCCAGAAACCCTATGAGGTTGGAGAAACGATGAAAGTTATACAAGTGCTCAGGTCTTTTATTCATAGGGTCGCTATGAGTTGTCTACAACTCAACGGCACTTAACAACAATCAAAAGGGAACTCTGGTGGCCTAGTGTCAAGAAGCCGCACTGCAATCCCGAAATCACATAGCTGGAATCCACCAGCCGCTCCGTAGGAGAAGGATGAGCAGTCTCTTCCTAAGTGATTAACTGCCTCTGAAAACCCAACAGAGGGTCAGCTACGGATCGGTTCCGACTCGATGGTACATAACAACAACAACTATAAACAAAAATAATACCATCCTAAACGAGCTTCATCATAGCCAAATGTACATGTAAAATGAGTTTCTAAGATCTGTATTACCTATGGCATGGGAAAATGAAAATCAGGGGAGGAAAAAAAGCCATTAGTTAATTATTTACCATGGGAGAAAGGTATTCATGTAAAAGAGATAAATTAAAAAGAGAAAGTTATTAACAAGTAGTTGCCATCAGAGAAAATCTACTAATTCATTAGTGCAATAGGCGAAAAAGCTATTCATCATTGAGACAACATATCCTTTTCTTTTTCTTATACCCATGGCTTTATAATTGATTTTCATACAAGCCTCCTGCTTATAGTACAGCATGTTCCCTGAGAAAGAAAAGAAGAGCAAGAATTTGAGGCTCCACAGTTCTGTGCACCCTAGTGCAGTGCAACCAACTCTTTTTCATCCTCCTCCTTCATCTTTTTAAAAGATAAATGATAAAAAGAAATGCACTACAAGGTAACTTTTCACCTGAACATTTGAAGGATTTCACCAAAAAGTATTAGAATTCTAGTGTTTAAATGAGGAAACATGGTCTTTAAAATGATACACTCCATCTTCTAATGGCCTTGACATGTTCGCTTTTTCTAATATATTGCACTGGGATGTCAATTAAAATGCAATGACCCCAGGTATCAGTGATCTGTATAAGATTACCTGGGCAGGGCTGGAAAGGGGGTCATAATTTGCCAAGGCCCTCCCAACTTCATTGTAAAATTATTTCATCTTTAAAGTGTCTGGTATTTTGATGAGTAAAGCAATTGACTGTTAATTAAGAAGCTGGTGGTTCTGTACACTATAATAGACAAAGTACTAGTCTATAGGCCTTTTATTGTAAGAACCACCTTCCCTCTGTAACTTGATTTGTGCCACTACTAGAACCTCTACTTGGAATATTATTGCTTGTTAATTTTTGACTCATGTACTTTTAACTTGTCAGTTAAATTTGCGTCTTCTAGGTTGCAACACCTCCATGATACATCTTTAAGGATATGAACAACTGATAACAGTGCATCTAAATTCCAAAATCAATCTCCATAATAGTCTGTGTGTTTCCTACTGCGAAAGGAGCCCTTTAGAGTAGTGAGAGAAGATCTCCACCCTGAAACCCACAGCGTCCCTTTTCAGCAGGAAGTAACTAAGAAAATAAGCCATCCCCTTTTCCTTATGAATCAGGGTGAAGTCTCTCTCAGGGAGGAGTGATAGGGAATGGCAAAGGACACACTGACAAAGGAGATTAATCAGAACTGGCTTTGACAAGCACTGTGGCAATTGGACAATTAAAACAGACATTCGGTGGGGGAAGAAGAAGAACGAACTGGGGAGGAGGGTAGAGAAAACAGTGCAACAATGAATGAATGAGAACCCAAAATCTCTGTAAATGTTCATTAAAACTAATAAAATTTAATAATAATTTAAAAAAAAAAGAAGCCGGTGGTTCAAACCTACCCAGTAGCTCCATGTGGGAAAAGACCTAACAATAAAGTTAAATGATTTTTAAAAAAACCAAAAAACTATCCAACTGAGCTGATTTCCACTTTAAAGTAGTGCTAGAGGACAAAAACTTTAGAGGGAGGTCCTTTCTTAACAAGTGCTTGTTCTCTATAAATGCCACTTTTAGGTCATACTGCTTAAAAGGGGTAACAAAATTTAAAAACTTTTCTCTATTTGCAAGATAAATACAAGGAAATTACTGGTTGAATATCAAGTTGTTTTCTCCATCATCCATTATCTGAGAAACTATTACTCACATATATGTGGAATGGTTTAAAACACTGAATTTTGGTAATAATGACATTATTATCTAAAATAATATTCAAAAGAAATACACAAGAATCGACTTCACTATAGTTTCTTACAACCCACCACTAAATGCACATTCTATTTAAGAAGTAATCTTAATAGTTTTATTCCTATTACTTTCTTTCCAGTTAATTAATTAATTTATTTATTTTAATCATTCCAAGAAACTGTATGGTAGACACTAAAGACAAAGGAAACAGTTTTAGGTTTTTTGTTTTGGTTTATGCTTTCTCTCATGGCCACTTTAGAGAAATCTCATGGAGTTAAGGAAGAAAATTAAACCATAAAAATGTTTTTATTCGTCTAAAATACAACAACGTTTTTAAAGGCAAAATTAAAAAAGAAAGGAATATGGGAAGAAAAGAAAGACAAATAGAAAAGTGACAAATGGGAATGATTTCCTTAAATTTTATCTAGATACTCAAAATTCAGGAATTTCTTACATCATGGCCAGCAGGAGATGCCTCCAGGCAGCTGGCAGCCCGACACTTGGACATCTGAGCCAGGAAGAGGGTTGTATAGGGACCGTGTCCAAGACAGTAAAATACTTCACATTAGAAGTCACACCAAGACCCTTATCTTCATCAAACTTCTGCTTATTTATCAGATTATGGTTAAATCCATTTGCTGCATTCTACACAGCACATTACTGTACTCCTTAATAAAAAGTATCTTGGTCCAGAATCTTCTCATATAAACCTATAAGGCACATACAGAGGTGATTTTCTCCAACTCTCCCATGTGCAAAGTCAGTACCTAAGGTTGGAGTCAGGAGAGGGATGCAGCACTGAGCGCACTTTCCATCACACTCCTCAATCTCCAGGCAGTGTATACTATAAGCAGAGGAAAGCATACACCCTCACTCTTCTCTCCAGGAGGCTGATGTATGTGATCATATTTGGGGTGGAGAAAAGATCACTTAACTTTAAAAATTCACCACCAATATTCTGCAAAGAGGGAAGTAATGTTCAATTAAATAGTCAATTATCAAAGCCACTGGGTGTGGGACAGAGGACAGGGTCAAAGGACAGACCTTCTTACTGTTATTCCTCCCACTTCTCAGGGCAGCCATCTTCAAAGCGAACAGTGCTACATAATAATGCTTAAGAACCTAGACGTATTTTTCAAGAAAATTAACATTAAAACCTAAAACAATACATATATTCTACATAAAATAAAGAATTCAAAATAATAGCCTGATGTGTTCCAAGAGGAGAAACAAAGATAAGAAAATGCAATAATTCTAACTCTTGTTTCAGACAAAGTTCAGGTGAAGCAGTCTATGCACTTACACATACGAGGACCTGTTATACAATACTCCAGCTCCCCTCCAACTCCACATAAGGAAAGAAAATGGTTTCCAAAACAGTCAAAAGCCATGCACAGTCAAAAGCCATGCTCATTATAAAAATAAAACAATCACATGTGATTTCTGGAAATGTCAGTGCAGCATGGAGTCTTTAAGACATAAACTACAACAAACATTGCAAAGAGAACAGAAGAGCAAAACAGGAAATGAAAATGACTGAAGAGGAACGAAGAAAGTCTGCAACTCCGTTGTTGCAAAGGTGGCACCCAAGTTCATCTCTACAAAGGTCACAGAAGGACAGCTTCACTCTGGAGTTGTAACTTCTCACAGCTTGTCTTCCTGTTCAAAGAGGTGGACATGAGTTAACACATCTCTCTTGTTTAGAAATACTTACTTTGCCAAAACTTAAAAGCACTTCAGTACATGTTCCTGAGTTTTCCATTCTTAAGATGATTTTATTGTTCTTTACAAGAAACAACTGAAATGTTACAAACAGTTCAAGAAGAGTCCAAACTGTTCACCAAATCCAAGAAAGAAACAACACTTTCAATCCAATCTATCTCCCACCAGCATTTGGTCCGTATTAACAGATTAACCAGCATGATTGCACAATTCTAATCACTCACTGGAACAGGAAAGATTTTAAGTTGAGGATTGTTTAATGTCTTCAAGAGTAACACTGTATAAGCAATCAAATAAAAATCTATTAATTAGAACTATTACAGACATTTACAATGGGCTTTATTTAAACGTATATATGAAATAATACATATACATAAGTAGAAAACAAAATCTGGTTAGGTGATTGCCTTGTTTGATTGTGTTAAATATTAGGAGTCTTGGTGGCACAGTGATTAAGCACTTGGTTGCAAACAACAAAGTCTGGCTCTTCAATTGACCAGTCACTCATCTGATGAAAAATGTGGAAATGTGTCTTCCTTAAATATTCATTGGGTCATTATGAGTCAAAAGTAATTGAACAGCAGTAGATGGGGGCCATAAACCTAAATATTATTTATTCAATCAGGGCAAATTCTTATAACATTGTCTAATAAAAAAATTCCACATGAAGTAGCTATAATACTATAGTAGATATATTCTATTCTTAAATCCCTTCATGATTTTTTAGTTTGGGGATTTGGGATGTTGGTGTTTCTTTACTATTAAGTTTTCTAGTTCCAAGATTTATAAAAATGGATTATTAGGGTTTTATTACAGCTTAGTGATCTAGTGTCAATAAGCTGCACTGCAATTCCAAAAAACACATAGTTCGAATCCATCGGCTGCTCCGCAGGAGAAGGATGGGCAATCTTCTCCTGTGTGATTAACTGCCTCTGAAAACCCGCCAGAGGGTCAGCTATGGGTTGGTTTTGACTTAATGGGGCACAGTAACAACAAGGGTTTTATTATTCAGTTCTTTCATACATTTTAATCTTAAAGTAGCCCTCTCAAAATGAAATTATTTCTAGAAACATTTGTCCCCCTTATATGTTTAAAACTTTGTGCACCTGAAAAACATGACGTGAGTAATTCTGCAATTAGGTTAACACAACGGAATGAACAGGCCTTGTCCATAGGTCTCCAAAGTGTATCACACTCTTCCTCTAACAAAAAAGGACTATATCACTGTCTTCCCAAAGAGCTCTATAAGAACCTAGGTATGGGTTCTTTCCTAAACAAAGTAATTCAACACACTGAAAAATTCAAGAGGAACTGATTTGACTACTTCAAAGAGAACTGATTCTACCCCTTAGTCTAAACAAATCATATATCAAACACTACTACCAATGTTCATTCTATTTTAAAGCATCATTCTCTATAATCCCTGGAAAAGCTCACTTGATTTTGAGCTGCCAGGATGACTGACAGGACTTATTACAAATAGAAATTTCAGAAATCACACGTTCACAAAAAAGCCACTCTGTGCTTGAACCTACATTTACTAACACAGACATTTCATCTACTTCCACATCTATATTTCTACCACTTTATAAAGAAGTTACCAGTAAAATGAAAGCAGCTTAAGTTATTTTCCAAATACAGTAGTTTTTTCTAAACCTAATTTTTTAAAAATGTTAAAATATATAAATCTCAGCAAAATGGGTTGTTGTTGTTACTGTTGTTGTTATTGTGTTCCATCAAGTTGGAAGCAACCCATCGCTGACCCTCCAGAGGTTTTCATAGGTAGTAAATCGCATGGAAAGAGATTGCTTCTCTTTCTCTCACAGAGCAGACGGTGGATTCAAACCATGTGCCTTGGCATCAGCAGTACAATTCTTTAGCACTAAGCCAACAGCAAAATCCAAATCACTGACGGTATTACTTAATGGTTCTGTTTTCCCCAGAACTCTCTTTTTAAAATAGGGACCTAATGGAGTGAATGCTTGGAACATGAGTAAAACTCTGAAAACTGAACATGACTGGACTTCTGTGCTCATTTTCTTTTGCAAATTTTGAAGTTGTGAATTAGGAACCTGAAACATTATGAATAAAAAATATAACTTTTTCATATTCATAGGCTAAGTGATAATATGAGATTTCTGTAAATCATCAATTGTTTTCATTTAATCGAAAAACTCCCAAACTCACTGACCTTTTCACTCCTATAATAAATCTGAAAGGACACCCAGAAAAAGAAATCAAATAAAGTCCTATCTTAACTTCTAAATAACAATACTAGGGACTCCAGAGTAAACTTACGTGGTTCATAGTAATCCACTATGGACACTGAAGCATCCTGGATGTTTGAAACTTTAATGCTTCTCACAGCAGGAATATCAACACAAAGCTGGGTTCCATTTACCTGTAAAAAGTACAAAAGACTGTTGAGGGAATAACAGGCCATATGTTCATAATCAAATAAAAATTCTTTCTCTTATCACTTTAGGAAACAGAAGCAAACAAAAGAAAGATTACCTATACACCAAGTATACATAAAGTACATTTTTTAAATTTTTTCAAGTTCTTGTCTATCTCATTTTTTATATCATTCTTTTTAAAAAATATTTTATACTGGTTTACATACAGAGTTCATAAAGTTCGTATACATTGTTTTTCACACTGGACCTTTCCACTTTGATTTTTAATTATTTTGTTCTACTCAAACAGCAAGCCTTATAAGATAGCTTTTTCTTCAATTTTGCTGAAAAGGATGTTAAGAATTAGAGTGATCTCATAAGCAGCACCAAGAGAAAAGGAGAGGGTTGGAGGATCAATGGAAACAAGAACTACAAGGAGGGGGCAGGGAGAATGCTGCTACAACATGGGGCAGGACATAACTCCTGTGACCAACTGTCTCATCCAAAGTTCCCTCTCCCCAGTTGCTTTTTAGTTCCAGTGCTTAACGGCTCACAGTAGCCCCTTTCTCTGAGAAAAACTGTCCTTCGCTTATTAAGGGTACTTGATGTAAAAAGTTATCCCATGAAGAAGTGAACCCCACAACCAAAGACTGACTGACAGGATATACAAAATGCTGACACTCTTGCCTTCCGGAAGGACAGGTAATAACCTGGTAAACAACAGAGGTTAAAGAATCTGCAACTGACAAGTTCATTTAAACATTACAGAACTTGGCAAGGGCAGTAGATAAAAGTCAAATTAACTAGTCAAAAAGAACTAGACATTCAAATTAAGGTAACCATTAACAAGACATCAGAGTTACTAGCAATAAGAGAGATGCAAATCAAAACCACAATGAGGTACCCTCTCACTCCAGTAAGAGTGGCAAAGTTTAACAGGGCAGTAAGTAATAGATGTTGGAGAGGATACAGAGAGAAAGAAACTCTTATACATTGTTGGTGGGACTGTAAAATGGTGCAACCATTCTGGAAAGCAGTTTGGTGCTTCCTCAAAAAGCTGAACATAGAAATTCCATATGACCCAGCTATTCCACTACTTGGAATAGACCCTGAGAATATGAGAACTGAGGCACAATCCGAGATTCATACACCAATGTTCATAGCAGCATTATTCACCATCACAAGAACATGGAAACAGCCCAAATGTCCAACCACAAACGAATGGATTGAGAAATTATGGTACATTCACACAATGAAATACTATGCAGCACGCAGGAGCAATAACATTGCCAATTATTACCTAACTTGGGAGGGACTGGAGAGCATTATGCTAAGTGAACTAACTCAGTCCCACAAGGATAAATATTGTAGAAAACCGTTATTGTAGAATGAGTATAAGGATCCAGGAGGGGTGAGAGAGACTGAAAACAGAGGGATGTAGATGTGCAGGGGGGAAGGGGGAATTAATCACTGGATTGTACAATTTGATGGGTGGGAGGGTGAGGAAAATGGAAAGAATTTGTTCAAATTTGTATTCAAATTCTGTAAATAAACTAGTAGACAAAAAAGAGACAAAAAACAAGACATCAGAGACTTAGGACAAATTCTAACACCAATTACTTCATTAAGCTCCAAATCAGGCTCATGCATGTCATGTAAGATTTAATATATGGTGGTGCCTAAAAGCAAAAAGAATCTAGAGACTAAATAAGTTTTAACAGGATTTCAACCAAAGTAACTTTTGAAGTCCATAATGGGTTTCGCTGCTAACCAAAAAGCCATACATTTCCAATGGTTTGAAACCCCCAGAGACTTCAAAGGAGAAAGGTGAGGCAGTCTCTTCTCACTATGATTTATAGCCTCCAAAATCGGGTGTAGGGTCACTATCAATCAGAATCAAGTTGATAGTCGTGAGTTTAAAGCAAATTAGAAAAATCCAGAAACTGGCTTGAAAAAAAAGGTATTTGGCAAGACACTTCTGATTTAGACTTAACAAAACTGGAGTAAAGAACATGTATATTCACCTCATCCCTGTAACATAAAATCCTAAGAATGTGTTGAAGTCAATTTCAATTCAAACTATGAGTTTTATACACAGGTTAGAAGAAAAGAAAGATTAAATCATTGGTTCTGAGACAAAACAATAGATTTTGGAACTCTTCTTACACCTTTCTGAAAATCTTCATATTTTATGTACTTCATTTTGGGCCAACAGTTGTCATACAGCCATGAAAAGAATACATTAAGACAAAATAATGAAACTGAGTAAAGACCAAATCTCTGAGAATATTTTAATGGCAGGAATGTTAACCTTGTATAACTTTTAAACATCATAAAGGCATTCTAAATTATATACGAAAGACTTCACTTAAACCATTTTAAATTAACACTTTTAGCTGTTGACTAAGAAGCTACTGAGAAAGGTCAACGTGAAACCTAAGTTTTAAAAATTATAAAATCTATATTTTTCCATCAGGCACAACAGCTATGTTTACATCAGGCATAAAGGCTATCAGAATCTTTAATAGGCTCATCATTATACATCATTAATTTTATAGATGGGTCTATTTTCAAGGGAAACAAATAAATAGTTGCCATTATAGGGAAAAAAATGAGATAACACAATGATTTAAATGAAACATGGTTAAAGTAAACTTTGGAGCACTAGTGGCTTTGTGAATAATGACCTCCGTGAAACTCTCATTTTACTACTTACAGAATCTAAGTAGAGATTGAGTTTTCCATGATCATGTTCCACTTTCTTAATCGTCTCACTTAAAGGAATTGCATCTGAAGACACAGCAAAACCACTAAGCAGGTTCACCTCCATAAGGGCCATGCCACTTCTTTCTGGCCCCAAAAACCTAGATCAAAGGGAAAGGATAGAAGGGAAAAAAACAAAACAAAACTAGTGTTGATGTAAGTAAATGATCTTCATACAGAAATTAAAAATCAAGGGATTTTTTTTCTTAATCATATAAAATTTTAAATAAATTATCCCTTTCTGGCATATGTGGTATTCTCATAACCTCCAATCACAGAAGAAATGATACCATGACCATCTTATTCACTTAAGAGAATGAATCAATGTGTGTATCGAGTTCAGTTCAGGTACAACCTACATCATCAGATAAATTTGTTTTCTAGTGGTGATGCCAAACTGAACTACATTTTTAGTTTTGTCTTTAAACTACGTAGCCCAAAGTCAGGAACTAAAAATTAGGCGTCACTTGACCACTCAGTGGGTGACCCCAGCAAATCCTTGATGACTTTTTTCTTCATCTGGTTCTAGAGAAAGAAGACTAGTAGGGAGAGGCCTTCCCTTTGTTCTCCCACATGCTTGGAAGACACTTGTATTTTCTTTGGCCCACTCTAGGAGAATGACAAGCCTCGGAAAGTTTATTCCACTACACCATTCCCTCATTCTGTTGTACACCATGTGAGCATCAAAAGATCTGAGCAACAACCTTTTGTCTCCTTGAAAATAAATATTTTTCTAAAATGAATTGGCAGCAAGAGGTTATGGGAAGGAGCTAGTGGCCAACATTATGTTTAGCTCTATTCCTGTTGTCATTTCAGATGGCCAGAGCAATAAGCCCTCTTAGACCATCTTGCTTTGTAAAGCAATGATACACTGCCTGCCAGCCATGCCTGATTGAAAAGCCATACAGTACAACTGCTGACTTCAGCTGGCTCGGCAATCTAAAACAAATGAAATCATCTGCTAGGTCAAAAAAAGACCAGGGTAAAAAAAAAAAAAAGATCAGGGTCACTTAGCCAGAAAAAGATGCTATTGAAAAGTAACAACTGGATTAAAATGAGAAGTATTTGTAATCAAGTAAAAAATATCAGAGAGTAAAAACAATCAGTCTGTTTACATACATCATCAAAAGTACCGTAGTTAGCTGGTCTTTTTTTTTTTTTTTTTTGGTCTTTCTAATAGACAGGACATGACTGAGTTATATATACTATCATGGTCCACAGAAAATCTTCTCTAAAAAATTCAGTAGATCCTGTTGATTAGTTATACAGCGGCTGAAACATTAACTAATATTTTTATAAAATGCCACTGGGGCAAATTCATGAATTTTTTTTTCTCAAGAAGAAGTCCCATGTTCATACTTCCGAAGGTCTTCTAAAGCAGTGTGTGTGTGTGTGTGTGTGTGTGTGTGTGTGTTTGTGTGTGACATATATGTATGTATCTCATATATACACATCTCATTGTTGTTGTTTTTGTTATGTGCCATCAAATCACCTGCAACTCATTAATGACCCTTCGTAAAACAGCTCTTAAGGGTCAAGGACTGCAGCCTTCAGTATGGACTGAGGCTCAATGTCAAGAAGACAAAGATTCTCGCCACTGGACCAATTGGAAGCGTCAGGATG